AGCAGCAGCAACCCCTGAAGGAAAGGGATCTGGGACACATACACAGAGGCTGGGACTGGGAAAGGACCAGGACAGGCAGAATTCAGACCTCGCCAGGGGAGGCCAGCACTATAAGAAACAAGGCAGCCTCCCCCACAGACAGATTCCCATTGGCACTGATGCGTGGAAGTGCTGAGGCACTTGTGCGCTATAGTGCAGGGAGTTGGGCGCTGAAGGAGAAGCTGCGCCAGAGAGGAAATGAGCTGGGCGCTGGCTGCAGGGAAGCCATAGCTGCGCCAGCCTAAGTAGTAGTAGGGTTAGTAAGTAGTGGGATATCAGTGAGTGACATTCAGAGTAGATCTTCGTAGGTGAGAGTGTGCATGCATAGTGAAGGGAAGAGAAACAAGACAAAGTTATTGAGAGAGAAGAGAGCAAGAGAGAGAAGACAGGGAGTGAGTCTGGATATGGTGGACACTTACCTGTTGGCGCCACGCTTGTGATCTGAAGGAGAACGCTGGCTGAGCCAGGTCCCACGCTGTTGTATGACGAGGGAGACTTGCCTCTTGTTGGCGCTGAACTCTGGAACTCACGATACTCTTTGTATTAAGTGACATTGACAATATAAGCTGCGCTACTTGGTTCTTATCTCATCTCAATCTGGTTTTGCGTGAGGCCACTTTGTACATGTGATGACATGTATGCATGCGGTTTGATGCACTCGAGCAAGCTGTGAACAGTCAGGTTCATTGCAATTCTGGTATCGGAGCAGATACTTGTTGCACTCACTGCGCTGGCATAAGCAAGACCGGCGAGAAGGAGAAGAGAACGCTGGCTTGTTGATGATGCTGGCGATGGTGGAAGAAGAGGTGGATAGGGATATGGGAGAGTAGGCCGAAGAGGAAGGGGCCGAAGTGATACTTACCTGAAGCGTGGAGTGCGGAGCGACGAGGAGTTTTCATTGACGATCGCTGTAAAAGAGAGAAGCACCCTTTACCCCTTACCTGGCTGCATGTGTGTGTGCATCTCTACTCCTCATCCTCTCTGGGGGCGCTGCTGCTGCTGTTAAATCGAGTCACGAGGTCTGTAGTCTGGTTGATCGAGATCAAAGGGTCTTGTCGCGTCAGGGTCAAGAGCGATCAGAGTCCTTCTATCTTCTACCCTCTAGTCCGGAAGAGTACGCTGGGAGATGGTGGCAGTCTGCCACGTCAGTATGCAAGTACGATATAAGGCATAACTAATCTGGGCAGAGACAAGTTGGGATTGAACTATTGTCCAGACATCTGATCGAGTACCACTCCAGTTCTCCCTGCGCAGAAGGACAAACAGAGAGGGTTAGAAAAGAAGAAAGAGTAACATCCATCACCAGACAAGATCAAGTGTGATATCTGTTTTAATTAGTCCAATATCTGAAGTTGACAACAGACAGCAAAGAAAGAAAAAAAAAAGAAAAAAAAGAACTATTGCGTATTCAAGATTCTGAAATTCATTATTACCGAGGCAGCGACACCCAGAGTCGGGAAAAAAAAAAAAAAAACAGACAAAGCAAAGTTGTTTTATTCCATCCACTGAGATTAGTCTAAGGACAACAGTTGGGAGGCTTACCTGGTGGAACCAGCGGAGGGTTCCCTGTGCTAAGTGCCACTATGGTGGACGACTTCCGATGCAGGGCTTGATTGCCCTTTCTGTTCTGATGGGTCCTTTGTTCAGAATTTTTTTTCCCCTGGGCTTCGGGAGAGTATGCACCTCCCGTATGATGATGAGATCAGGAGGTATAAAGCCAGGGCTTACACCTGCAGAGCAGGCTGAAGTGGGTCGCCGTCAGGCAGAAAAGAAAAAAGAAAGGGAAGAAAGAAAAAAGCAAAAGGAGGAAGAGATAAAGAAGAAAATGCAAATGGAAGAAGAAAGAATGAGGAAAGAAATGAAAGAAAAGTTAGAGAAAGAATTGAAAGAGGAACTGCAGACAATTGAAGAAGAAGATGAACCTGCTGAGGACAGACTCATCAAGCGGCGGGCAGAAAGCGGTGAGGCAAGCCAGAGAGGTGGTGAACTTGATGTCAAACCGCTGGACTGGTATGACCAGTATGCATATTCCAGCGATAGACTTGAAGAAACAGAGGAAGAAAGGGACATGTTCGTTGCGAGATTAGCTACCGTTACAGACCAGAAAGAAAGGGACGTTATGCTTGAAGAAAAATGCACAGAGCTGCATAGTAAAATGTTAGCATCGAAGCGACAAGAACTTGACGAGAGGAAAAGATTACAAGCAGAGGGGGCAAGGCTGCAAAGCGAGCTGCAAGCACAGAAAGACAAACAGGCGAAAACCGAAGAAAAGCTTGCTCTCTTGACTGAAACAGTCCTTCATACCAAGCAAGAAGTAGCCGCAATGAACCGGACCCTGCAAAAAGTTGAAAGCCACCAATACGAGTTTGAAGGGGTCTCGAATACCTTTCTGCAAAAGTCCACCAAAGACGTGGATCTGCACATTCAATCTTATATTCAAAAGTTAGATAACCACATCACACAAACCTTTACCCCTGCCGTGATTGAAAAGATAGTCTGAGGCAGCGGCGGAGGAGGAGGTGGTGATGGAGACGGAGATGGAGGCGATGGAGACAGAAAAGGAAAGGGAGTGCTGCGAGACGATAAAGATACCGATGTCAGGAAAATAAAAGTTAAAGTGTCGTGGACTTACACTGGCAAGAAGGAGGAGAGTGTTCTACATTGGAATGCGGTCGTAGAATCAATGTATACGGTCAGCGCATACCTCATTGGGATAGAGTTCTGATGGCCACTTCGTGTATGGCCGGCGATGCGATGAGCTTCGCCATCTCGTTGCAAAAAGAAGCTAACTGCGATACTATGATTGCATATTCCCAGCAAACTAGAATTGAAGATTTCTTTAAACCACCAGTACCTTCCCCAGTGTTGGGAAAATACGAGATCCTGGCCAGTACCCGAAGTTTTCGGGGTTCGGACACAGGGTCGGCGATGTCCCAAAAATCGTATTTTTCTTTTGCTCGTGTACGAAAGAAAATTGAAAAAAAAAAGATCTTTGTACTGCAATGATGTCGGGCAGGGTAGTCCAGGAGGCCGTGCTCACAGTGTTGAATGCATCTGACAACAAAGACGGTCACATTCTGAACTTGTTGTTTTCTTTTTTTTATTTCTGTTTTGTTTGTTATGTGCCCCCTGCCAACGAGGCAGGGCGGAATCCGTGATCTGCTCTAGCTGTGTTTCCTCAGATGATTGTCAGGGTCATGTATCCAGCCGTTTTCAAGGCCGAATACGTGTTTCCGTTTTTTTTTCTTGTTTTCTTTTTCTGGAATCTGACAATCTGACTCCGTGATCTGCTCGAGCTGTGTTCCCTCAGAGGATTGTAACCCTGATCACACTGGCACTTACGGGAATGTATCTTGCCATTTTCACGGCCAAATCCCTGGTCCTCTTTTTTTTTTTTTTTTCGAGTTTCTGGAATTTGACAACCTGGCCACGGGGCTGAGATGCCCTCACTAAGGGCACACTCACACTAACACTTTCGGGAATGTATAGAGCTGCAATCACGTCTAGAGCTTTGTTTCTTTTTCTTGTTTTGTGAGTTTTCACGGCCGCAACTTTTCTTCCTTTTTTTTTTTTTTTTTGTTCTTCCCGTGAGAGTACCATAAAGAAATGGAGTGGGACCCAGGCTCGACAAAACTCGGAGCGCAGTGAAAATCAAGGTCGGCAAAAACATGCTCGGAGGTACTGGTGGTTTAAAGCTATCAGAGAACGGTTTGAAGATAAAAATCTAGCTCGTAGAACAGAAATGTTAATTCTAAACATCGCAGGTCGAAAATGGAAGAGCGCGTCTGCACTCAAAGCAACAATGGACGAACTCTTACAATGCGCAGAACATGGATTAACTCCTACCCAAATACTCAACAACTTCGCAAGAGCACTTCCTGATCCTCTCCGTACTCGACTTTATCCCCACACAAAAGAAGAGGGGATGACATAAGAGAAGTTCAACAAGATCGCTATAGATCATGCTGGCTTCTTCGCCGAAGCTAATTACTGCCATTATTGGAAAGATCTGCAAGCGGGAAAGAAGTGGTAGAACCGCACAATCTCAGGGAACATACCTGGGAAAGACAACCTCCTTCTGACCTTTGAAGAAGGAGGTGTCGAAACTCTTTCCTATGACCAAATAGACTATGGTCTTGAGGAAGGACCCAGCGGTCCGGTAGCTCAGGAGGGGAGCTATGCGGCCGTTGCAGCCCGAGGGGAGGGCGACAAGGAAGAGGACGCGGCCGAAGAAGAGGAGGCCGTGGATGCGGTGGAAGAGGACTCGGTACCCAAAGGGGTGGTGGCGAATGAAGCTACTACGTGGGTGGAAGGGGCAATGGTCCCTCGCAAGGTGACCGAGGTTCATATTCTACCTGGGGAAGAGGAAGAGGCGCGTGGTATGGTACGTGGGACAAACCATATCCACCCCATCCAGGTTTGCCCGAAGGGGAGCCTCGGAAAAAACTGGGAATCAAAGAAAAAGTTTGGCAGGAAAGAAAAGCCACTGATCAGTGCCTCAAATGTGGTGACCCCAACCACATTGTTCCCTATTGTCCAGACTATAAGATACTAAAAGGGAACAACCAGTAGAGGTCTCAGTTGCCTCTACGGGAACTTCGGATGTAGAAAGAAAGACACCCTCCCATCTGAAGGTTCCACTGGCGGAGACTGAAGAGGAAGCCAGTCCCCACCTAGTTAACTGTCCAGAGATAGGAAGTGTGTGTACCTCTCTAGGTGGATCCCTCTCTGGCATGGGTGATGAGTTGGTCGCTCGTCGCCAAGCCTGAACTGAAATGAAAAAACGAAAAGGACAGTTAATAATTGCAGATCTTGAAGTAAATAAAGTAAGAGTTGGTGGAATGGTTGACACAGGGTCAACACGCAGCTACATAAGAAAGAAAGGTTTGCAAAAGCTGCGTCTCGGGCTTAAGGTAAAGCAATTAGATGAGCCCGTAGTAAGTAAGTTAGCTAATAGTACGGTAACTGTGATGAATAAGTATGTTGAAGGAGTCAAGATATACTTCCGGCTCGAAGCAGAGGGGAAGGTGGAACGCGTTCTCCACTCTCTGACTCTCTTGGTGGAAGATAATCTTCCTTTTGACATTCTCCCAGGCATGGATTGGGGTGAAGCTGCAAATACGGATGTGAAGTTAAGGGACCATGAGTGTTGGGTCCCTAGTCTGCAAGGTGGAAAGACGAAAATCCGCCTTTTTCATGAATCAGGTAAGGAAAGTAGCTTAGCTCATTGTTGTACGAGTGCCCCCGCGTTCGCCCGCCATGTGAAAAAGTATAATTTATATGATCAAGTATTTGTTGCATATGTGCGCCCAATAAAGGAGGGGGAGGTTAAAGAAGAAGCAAAATCCCCTGAAATTAAAAGGATTTTGAGGGAATTCGCAGATGTGGCAGAGGCCCCAAGCGGTGTGGTAGAACGACCAATCAAACATCGCATCGAAATGATACCAGGAAGCTCGATTCCTAAGGGGCCTATATATCGGATGTCACCTAAAGAGTTGAATGAACTGCGAGCCCAGCTTGATGAATTGCTGGAAAAGGGGTGGATCAGACCTAGCTCCTCGCCCTACGGTGCACCTGTGCTATTCGTACCAAAGAAAGATGGCGGGGTACGCACGTGTATAGATTATAAAAGACTTAATGATATAACAATAAAAAATGCTGATCCATTATCAAGGATAGATGATTTGTTGGATCGAGTGCAGGGTAGCATGTACTTCACTAAGATTGATCTGAAGTCTGGCTATCATCAGATTGAGGTAGAGCCAGAAGACCAATACAAGACTGCCTTTCGAACAAGGTACGGACACTATGGGTTCGTGGTGTTGCCCTTTGGTCTTACAAATGCACCTGCAACCTTCCAAAGAACAATGAATGAGCTTTTCCGCGAATGGCTTGATAAATTTGTGGTTATATTTCTCGATGATATATTCTGATTTTTAGTAAGGATTTAAAAGAACATTGCGAGCACCTTCGACTTGTGCTAAATCAGGTGTATGAAGCAAAATTGAAATTAAACCCGAAGAAGTGTGATTGGGCTAAGCGTCGGGTTTTGTATTTGGGGCATGTGCTTGATGATGATGGTATCAAACCGGAGGATACAAAAATTGCAACAATTCGGGATTGGCCTAACCCCCGCACTTTGACTGAGTTGCGGTCGTTCCTTGGGCGGGCCAACTATTATCGGACGTTCGTTAAACACTTCACGATAATCGTTGCGCCCCTTCGCAGATTGTTTAAGAAAGAAACCATCTAGAAGTGGGATTCAGACTGTACGGCTTCGTTTAAACGCCTAAAGAAATGTCTGATTAACTACCCGGTTTTTAAGGTTGCTAATCCTTCTTTGCCCTTTATCATCACAACCGACGCCAGTCAGTACGGGATAGGTGTTGTACTCCAACAAGATGATGGGAATGGATACAGACTTGTAGAGTTTATGTTCCGACGACTACCTACTGAGAAGGTCGCCGCTTCCACGTACGAGAGAGAGTTGTATGCTCTTCGGGAGGCTCTAGATCATTGGCGACACTATCTCTTAGGACGCCACTTTAAAGTGTACTCAGATCATGAGACACTTCGCTGGCTTAAAACGCAGGCCCGGATGACACCTAAGTTGACCAGGTGGGCCGCAAAGATTGATCAATATGACTTTGAGTTAAAGCCAGTCAAGGGTAAGTACAACGTTGTTGCTGACGCGTTGAGTCGAAGATCTGACTTTTTCGGTGCCGTTGTGACATACTTAGATATGGGCACTGACTTGCAGGATAAAATTAGAAATGCGTATTCCACAGATCCTGTCTATGGCGCTATGATTAAACGTGTGCAAGAAGCGCCACAAGAGTTTCCTAACTACCGAGTTACACAGGGACTGTTATTTGAGCAAACAGACGTGCATGATAGGCTTTGCATTCCAAATGTGGAAGAGATCAAAAGCTTGATCTTGGGGGAGTATCATGATACTGAAGGCCATTTTGGCTGGAAGAAGACTTACGCGGGGCTGTTGCGTTCCTACACATGGCCTCGCATGAAAGCCGACTGCATTGCATATGTGTAAGGTTGTCAAGTGTGCCAAAGAAACAAGAGCACTACTCAACCTCCCTTTGGGCTACTAAAGCCTTTGCCGATTCCAACAGGTCACGGAGACTCCGTATCCATTGATTTTATGGACACCAAGGTGAAAAGCAGGAATGGAAAGACGCAAGTCATGGTCATCGTTGACAAATTTAGTAAGTATGCTGTATTCGTAACATTACCAGCGGAAGCAAAGACCGAATTAATAATCCGAGAGTTCTTTAACCATTGGGTAAAGAATTATGGACATCCCTTAACAATTGTGAGTGACAGAGATTCACGTTGCACGAGTGAACAATGACAACAACTCATGAATGTCTATGGCTTTAAGTTAACTATGTCATCAGGTAGACACCCTGAGACAAACGGCCAGACTGAGCAAATGAATAAGATTTTGCAGCAGACATTGTGCATGTATATCCGTCCCGACCAGATTGACCGGGATGAACATTTGCCCAAAGTTGCTAGTGCCTATAACAACTCAGTTGACCTATCTACATGCAA